CAGTCTGTTTCAGTGGCAATTTCAGACCCTGCCTGGCAGGAGGGGACCCCTGGAGCCCAGTGGGTGCCCTGTCCAGATGCGGGCCAGTGGGATGACGCAGCCGCCCAGGCAAGGAGGGCTTTGTCTGCTTCCCGAGGCCTCTCCTGGTTTCCATGGCAGCACTGACAGGAGCAGGGGATGGGCAGGGCCATGGTCACCGCCCAGCTCCGCAATGATCCAGGCTGGAGGGACCAGGAAGCTGAGGAGTGCACGGAAACAGCGCAGCCCAAGACAAGGAGCACATGTGCCCGGCCTGGGCTGTGGGCGGGTGGGAGCCCTGGTGGTCATGGGTCACTACGCGAACCTCCATCTTCATTGTCATGGCGACAGCTATGTCAGTACAGTGGGCGACCCAGACCTGCAGGATCCCACCCAGCCAGGAACCCTGAGGTGGGCTGGGAGGGGGCGCCATAGGGACCCTCAGGCCCAGCGGGTGGTGGAATGCCGGCTTTCTCAGGTCTAAGAAACACCTTTAAACACGTGCTACTCCCACAGCCTAAGTGAAGAACTGCTTTAAGGAGGCAGGTGGTGGGGCGGCCACACATATAGACCTGGGCTCTGCAACAGGGTCACGGCCACCTGCAGCCTGTGAAGTGCTCATTAACTAATTTACGTAAAGGACGCTCAGCTCCCCAGCACACGCTCCACGTGCGGGCGTCCCTGGCCACTGTGACGCAGATGCAGAGCAATGCCCCTGTCACGGAAAGTTCCACCGATGCCCGGGAGGCAAACATGCAGGGAGACCTCACACGAGAGCAGGTTCCCACACCTGCGTGCACGTGCCTCACCGGGGTCACCTGTCTGGGACCCGAGGGCCGCCTGCCTGGCCCCGGGGACACACGGGCCTGTGGCACCGGCCCCTTCACCAGCCAGGGAGCCAAGCAGCTGCTTCTCCTCTTCCATGCCGGGGGTGGGGCCGGGCCCCCTGCTCACATGCTCAAAGCCAGTGTCACACGGGTGCAGGGTGCACCCTGCCATCCAGAGCCTCTGCTTCCCCCTCTCCCCACACTTCTCTGCCTCCGGCACTGTCCCCACCACCCACACAGCCCCCAACTTTATTTCCCCCTTACCTTCCTTCCCAGAGGGGGCTCCTCCCTCCACGGACCCACTGCCCAGACACTGCAGACGCCTTCTTTCCTGCCCTCACCAGGGCCCACAGGGCTGTCTTTAGCTTTTGGTAACATTTCTTCAGGGTGATGAACAGTGACAGAAAAGCAGCAGGGTGACCCCTCATAGGTCAGGCCAGGCTTGGCCACCCCGCGGTGCCAATCTGACGGAAAGGTGTCTGGTGCCAATCTGATGAAAGGTGTTCGCTTTTCAGACTGTGGGTTGCAGGCAGGGGCCAGGCACCTGCATCCTGTCCCCGTACAGTCAGGGGCTCAGGTTCATGGAGCTCATGCTGGGACCCTCTCTGGGCCGACAGGGCTGAGGGCTGTGGGGCGCAGGGGCAGGTGCCCATCCCCTCCACTCACTTCTTCCTCCCCTCCCCCCCAGGCTCCAGTGCAACCGCTGCCAGTGGGGCTGGTCCTCGGCCCACGTGCACATCCTATTCCATGTGCGATGGGACAAGGACCGCCACCTGGGGCTGGTGAAGATGCGTATCTGGGCCCAGGCGTGCCAGCTGTGCCCGCCGGACGCCCGGGGAGACTGCCAGGTGAGCCTGCTGAACGTGCGGCTCTTCCTCAACAAGCTGGTCCTGTTCGTCCTGCAGCAGTGCTACCAGGAGAGCATCAGCTCCGACGAGTGCCCCGAGGTCTGCTTTGGGGACCACTGCGAAGCCTGCGACCTGGGCGTCTGCTTCTTCCAGAAGCCCCCAGACCCCGCCTGGGGGCCCGAGACCAGGAGCCCCAGCACCGTCCAGGCCATGCCAGCCCTGGGCAGCGGCCCGGTGGCCAGTTGCGCCTGGGGCTTCGTCCTCCCCTCTGTGTCCGACCCCCTCTCTGAGGGCAGCCACTTCTTCAGCGAGGACATGGACATCATCACCGTGCCCTTCACCCTGGTGAGCGTGGGCAGGGACAAGGGCTCTGTTGGCCCTGGAGAGGGCACCCCCAGCGAGGCTGGTCTCCAGGGGCTGATGATCATCGACAGGGGCTCCGCCGACCAGCCTGCCAGTCTCAGGGCCTTGCCCACCAGCATGAGCATCCTGGTCAACATCAAGGCCCCCATCCTCCACGGCAGAGACCACCTGCTCAGGAGCATCAAGTCCTTCCAGGTCAAAGGCTTCATCTTCAAGGGCTTTGGCTCCCTTTTGGGCCAAGACAAGGGCCCGGGCGCCGATCCCAGCAGCAACAGTGGACCCACTGGAGATGCCACCCTGCCCGTGTCCTATGTCTTGGGCCTCACAGAGAAGGGCGAGGGCTCCATCACCTTTCCCTTGTCCTTGGCTAACATCATCCAGGGCCCGGACTCCCTCCCTGACCTCAACGGCTCCCTGACCTTCCCTTTCATCATCACCGACCAGTGCAAGGGTGGGGCAGAGTGTGGCCACGACCCTGCCCTCAGCCCCGCCTCCTCGGGGAGCAGGGGTTCCCTCATCATCCCCTTCTCAGCCTTTAGTCCCATAAAGCTCGGGGGCCTGCAGGGCAGCAGCTACCACAGGAGCGGGCACTGCGGCAGGCACAGGCGCCGCCGGGCCCGGAGGCCTCGGGCCCGCAGGGAGGAGGACTTCTTGGAGGAGGAGGACGGCTGGTGCTGGCCGAGTTTCGATCCCTACGAAGAGGTCTGGGTCTGGATGTGCATGGTCTTCTTCGTCCTCTGGACACTGTACCTGTGCACTTCTTGACGGCTCCCAGACGCGTGTCTGAGCGTGCCACCTCCCTCCCGGGTCCCCCACCGCGTCTCTCCCTCCGCAGGGCTGCCCAGACACAAAGCCAAGTGCTGCTGGCCCCCCCAGGCCCCACCGCCCCCCACCAGCCCGGCCCCCATTCTGCCAGCCCCCCTGAGCTGAGGCCTCCCAGTGCGCACAGCTGCTCCCTGGACCTCTTGCTTCTGTGTTCTCTCTCTTGACGTGACTCAAGCAGTGGTCCCGTGATGTCCGCGTGTGATGTCCACGTGTGATCATTCCCCGGTGTGACCCCCAGCTGCCCCTGTGTGTTCACTTGTGTGTGTTACACTCCGTTCAAATAAAAGTCAAAAAGAGAAGACCATACAGCACACTTGGGCCGATGACAGGTGGTGGTGAAGTGGGAGAGCGGTGGCCAGGGGCCCCCCGGCGCTTCCCCAGGGCGTGATGGGACTGGGCCTCAGGCACAGAGCTCATGTCCTGCTCGCCTTTGCTGTGCACGCACGGCCCAATGGCCACGCTCCTGCCCCGGGGCCAGGTCGAACCCGTGGGGGACCGGTGGCAGGTCGGAGCCCCGTCCGCCCTACAGTAATTGCACCCCCCTGCGTAGGGACCCTGCCCTGTCAGGACGCCCTCGAAGGGTTAACACCTGGAACAGCTTGTGGGGGGATCACCAGCCTGAGGGCTCCTCGGATTAGGCCCCCCCCCAGGCCAGTCCGCCCCCACCCCGCCCTGCCCTGCCCGCCCACCCGAAGGCCCCCCGGGATGGGGTGAGGGGTGAGGGGTGAGGAGAAGGAGGGGGGCTGTCAGGTCTCGCCACCCGCAGGTCGAATGAGCAGAGATGGCCCTTCTCCGACCCCCATTCGCCCCTCCTCCAGCCCCGCCTCCCCCCCACCCCCCCCGCCGGCAGGCCGCGCGCGCTGTCCTGCGGCGCCCCCGTGTGGCCGCCGGCCGCATCACAGCCCTGCATTGGGGGAACGGGGAGGTAGTCACTGCTGTTAAACTGTCTAATCGGCTGGCTTAGTTAAAACCCAACCAACACCACCCGTTATCAGTATCTCTAACATTCGTCTTAATGAATAATTAAATTTTGTTTAATTCATTAATAATTAATTTACTAGAATTAAAATTCACTAATAAAGATGAGAGTGCATGCAATATGCCCATTGGATCTGTGGCAGACCCATCCTTAGGCACATCCGCTATTCTGGTCTGTACCCACCTTCATAACCATGACTCTTCAGGCGCAGGGACTCCTTACAGCGCAGGGGGCAGCCTGGGACTGCAGTCCAGGACAGCCCAGCAGAGCCCACACCGGAGCCATCTCCAGAGTCTGCACCTGAATCCAGGCCTGAATCCACACCTGAGCCATACGCGAGCCCTGCGCAGCCTGAATGACCAGGCTCGGCCTTATTAAATATGAGATATTGCATGTCTAAAAGGTCTCAAAGAGGACCGAAGCAGACGCGTTTTAGATGCAATTATTGTTAGTTCAGCCAAAGTGGGGCGGACTAACATGTGAACAGTTTGCTGCTTTTCAGTAAACTTCCTAGTGGAGGGAAGAGAGCCCAATGTCTTGCACCCCAGGGAGTGGCCACGGCAGACATGAGCAGCTGCACCCTCCTCTCCTCCAACTGGGGGCCCCTGACCTGTGTGCAGGGCTGACTTCCAGAAGACCCTAGGGCAGGGGTGGGGGAGCTTGACCTGGCCAAGACCACACCCCTGTCGTGGCCGGAGTCCTGCAGGTACAGGGGCCCTTGCCGGAGGCCCCTCGGCGGGTGCTGGGACCCCACACTGTGTAACCCCCCCCCAAAAGCTTCTCTGTCGCTTTTCTCTTAGTTGAAGTCAGAGGACAACCTGTTGACGGCACTCCCGCAGTCAGTAAGGGTGACCTGCCGTTGCCGTCTAAGTTCTAGGAAATTCCACAGCTCACATCAGAAAGGGGCTGGGTCAGGGTGGGCCAGTGCAGATCCCTGAGTCCCTCAGTGGTCGGGGCAGGTCCCTGCCCCCGGTGCCCTTGGCGGCCTGGGCGGGACAGTGGCCGTGCTGTGTCCTTTCCCAGGCACTGGGGTGGCTCTGCGGGAGGGGTGGCCCAGGCAGACAGGCAAGCCGGGCCCGGGGTCAGTGCCAGGCTCTACTGCTGCCCAACCTGGAGTCCAGGAAGACGACTGTCCGAGGCCCAGCTGGGACCTTCTGCCCCACGCGGGCCCGAGAGGCCCAGAGCAGGCGCAGGAGGTGTCGGGGTCTTGGCGACACTGCTTTGAGTAGGAGCAGCGGTGGGGGCCCCTGTTCTCTCTCTGCTCGGGCCGCCTTCGCCCTTCTGTGAACACAGTCCCTCCTCCTGAGGGTCTCACCTGCGGGATGTGTGGGGCCCCGGCCCGGCCCACCTGCCCCAGCACACACCTGCCCAGCCCCGCCGACCACCCGCGGAGGGCGCTGCGTGCTCAGCGGGGCTGCGAGCCCGGGGAAGGGCCAGGCGATGGAGGCCCCCCAAGTGCACCGACTCCGGCGGCTTCTGGGCCCGGCCTCGGGCTTCGTGCTCGCGGGGCCGCCAGGTGGCACCCTGGTCCAACGCGCACGTTGGTACCAAGGTGGGCTGGGCGGAGGGCAGACCTGCCCCCTTCACCGCGCTGTATGCCGTCCGTGCCCCCCCTCCCCCAGCTCCCTCCCGGGCTGGAAGCAGGTGCCACGTCCAGGTCTCTGTCCTTTCGGGCTGCTCGACCCTTGGACACTGGTCTCACCCTCCAGGCACACAGCTGAGATGATGGGGGGACGGATGGTGGCTCCCATTCCAGAGAGAGTCAGGGCCTGGGGTGCCCCATGGGGGGCGCTCCTGTCCACCTCTTGGTTCTCCCCAGGGTCTGGGGCGGCAACCAGACAGCGACTTTGGGCCGCCGGTCCCCATGGCTGGGACTTCGCCTCCTGCTCACTGTCCTGCTCCCAGACCCCGTCCCTCTCCTCTGCCTGGGGATCTCCCGGGCGTTGATGGTGGCTGAGGCTCCTCCTTTCGCTCATGTCTGCAAGGGTTTTGAAAGGAGCCCGATCCAGCCAGGACGAATCCAC